CGATGACTGTATTGACAACATTGGAAACGCGAAATTTGTCAGTAAATTTGACCTGTTGAAAGGCTACTGGCAAGTACCGTTAACAGAAAGAGCAAAAGAAATATCTGCTTTTGCTACACGAGATGGACTTTACCAGTATAAAGTAATGCCTTTTGGCATGAAAAACGCACCGGCTACATTCCAAAGGATGATTCACTCCCTTCTTCAAGACCTTGAGGGATGCGAGGCCTACGTTGATGATGTCGTCATATACAGCAACACATGGGACGAACATCTCCGAATCATGCGTGCTTTATTTGACATTTTAGCTAAAGCAAATTTAACTGTGAATCTTGAGAAGAGCGAATTTTGTCATGCTTATGTAGTAGGGATGTCAACGAGTACCCGGTTAACCGGGTACTCGATCGGACGTCCGAGTATCGAATACTAAAATCGGTACTCGGTTACTCGGATGTATATTTTTGAATATTTCTAAGCTTATTCATTAATGTATTAAACAATCTGCTTTAAAACGTAAAATGCTCATTGCACTTGCACATACAGTAATTAGGGTTTACTACGATTCTAAATGACCGTTATCGCCTGTGGCAGTGTTATCGTAAGCAGTAATTATCATGACCAAGCACCTGGGGTACCTGACCTTTCTCACCTTTGGCTGTCTTTTACCCTTATTTTTTGTTTGGCTTCAATTATTTGTTTTCACTGAACATCGTTTAAATCCATTACGTTTAAATAAATTTCATAATTTTCTCAATTCTCCGAGAAGCCGTAATTAAATTCTCGGGAAAAGAGCGGATGATATTACACGTGCGATTGTTCATATGGTTGTGTTTGATTACATGCCAATACAACTGGTTGAAGGCGAAGGCTTTAAAAAAACAATGACCATCGTTGCACCAAACTACAAAATACCGTCCTGAAATATTATAAAATCTAGGATCGAAAAAGTGTACGAAAATCGTAAATCCGCTCTATTAGGAAAACTTGATCAAGTTCAAGTTGATACTGTACGTAGCTCTGACGACTGATACCTGGTCGTCAAACGCGACAAAGAATTACATTACAATTACGGAGCAGATTATTTTTTTTAAACAAAAACACAATGAACAACTTTTGATTTTATTTCTTGTGTTTTTCTGATAAATAAATTGAATTTTAAAAAAATGTTATATTAAATTTCGTCGGGCACGAAGTGTTCATCATCAACAGAAATACATTTACGGATAAGCCTCATATCAGTGCATCTGGTTTTATTTCTACAAGAGTTTACAATGTTTTACAGTCTTCAATTTACTTGTTCATATTTATTTACACTTTTACCGAGTACCCGGGTACTCGATCGGAAAAATGTCCGAGTAACCGAGTATTGAAAATTGACCGATTTGACATCCCTATTATGTAGAGTATTTAGGTCATAAAGTAGGTCAAGGTTATGTTACACCCATTATGGCTAAAGTGGAAGCTATTGCAAAGTTCCCGATTCCTACAAACAAGAAAGAATTAATGAGGTTTTTGGGCATGGCTGGGTTTTACAGAAAATTTTGTCCAAATTTTTCCTCAGTAGTTAGTCCACTTACAAATCTTTTACAAAAGACGGTTAACTTTGAATGGACAAAGGACTGTGAAAAATCCTTTCATAAAATCAAATCTATCCTGATGAGCAACCCAGTTCTGTCAACTCCAGATTTTTCTAAGCAATTTAAGCTTACTGTTGACGCTAGTGATGTTGGAATCGGGGCAGCTTTGTTTCAAGAACATAGTGATAATGTAGATAGAGTTGTTTCTTATTTTTCAAAGAAACTTACAAAATGTCAACGAAATTATTCTACTATTGAAAAAGAATGCCTTGCTTTGTTGTTAGCTTTACAGCATTTTGATGTTTATTTGAATGTTACTTTGCATCCAATTCTTGTGTATACTGATCACAACCCCCTGACATTTTTGCATAAATTGTCAAACAAGAATCAAAGACTGACTAGATGGAGTTTGTTGTTACAAGAATACAACATAACAATTAAGCATATCAAAGGCAAAGACAATGTTATTGCAGACGCCTTGTCAAGAGTATCGTAAATATATTAGATTTTGTATTAATGTACATGTTTTACAATTTAAGTTTTTCATTGACATTCAAACTTTTTAAGGGGGGAGGTGTTGTGAGATGTGTATTGTTTCATTATGTATATAATTAGTAACATTAAGTTTCTTGAACATTCCAGAGTGGTCAACATGTTCGGTCATTTTATCTAGAACATTCTTAAATTTTGTGTATGTCCAGATTGTTCCAGTAATATCATGTTTTAACAATTTCTAGAATATTCTAGATTTATATTACTGTATAAATACCCTGTCAATTCGATGCATAATAATACTTTGTCGTATAAGCACTATTGAGATATAACTGGGATATATATTTTCACTGGGACATTGTGTGCAGAAACGGACACTCTGATGTATGTATTTTTAGATTCTTGCTAAGTTTGTACTTTATGTTTGATATATTTATTATATATTACTGTAAATAAATTATTGTTAAGTTTAAATTGTGTTATTGATCTTTGCTGGCATTTCGGGTAATTCTGACCCATAACATTATCGCACCATCGCTTCATCGTCATCGCATTATCGTGTCAATGCATTATCAACCCAGACCTCGATGGTGCGATAGTGAACTGCGTGGCCCTATCCAGATTCCACAGCATGTACCTATCCGGATTCTTATGGAAGCCAGATAGGGCCACGCACTTCACTATCGCATCATCGCACCATCGAGGTTTAGGTCGATAGTGCGATGAAGAGATAATGCGATGACGATGAGGCGATCGTGCGATAGCGATGAAGTGATGGTGCGATAGCGCGATGACGATGATGCTATGGCGCGACAATGCGATGATGATGGTGCGATAATGCGATGACGCGATGGTACGATGACGCGATGGTGCGATAGTGATGACACGATGATGCGATGACGATGGTGCGATAGTACGATGACGATGAAGCGATATTCACTATCGCTCAATCGTGCTATCGCACCATCGCCATCGCATTATCGCGCCATAGCATCATCGTCATCGCGCTATCGCTTCATCGTTATCGCACCACTGTTTCATCGTTATCGCGCCATCGACCTTTAAGTTGATGCTCGATGGTGCGATAGTGAAGTGCGTGGCCCTATCCGGATTCCATAGATTCTATACATACGATCCTCTCCCATTCTGTGCTACATGCGGACTCCGAACCGTGGCTTGGGGTTGGGGTTGGGTGGATTGACACGATAATGCGATTACGATGAAGCGATGTTGCGATAGCAATGTTCCGACGATGCAATGTCGATGATGCGATCGATGAAGTGTTGGTGCAAAACAGAGCTATGTCGATGTCGCATTAATACGATATACTTGGGTATGCATGCTCATTTTTAATCCACGCACTGTCGTGTCATCGCATTATTGCTATCGCACTCTTGCACCATGATAATATTTCTTTCCCTTTCAAAACAATACTACTTTCATGATGTGACCTGTTATATTCATTACAAAAGTATGGAATCCGGATAGGGCCACGCAGTTCACTATCGCATCATCGCACCATCGAGGTTTGAGTCAATGGTGCGATGACGCGATAATGCGATGACGATGGAGCGATGAAGCGATAATGATGAAGCGATGGTGCGATAGCACGATGACGATGACGCGATACTGCGATGACGATGAAGCAATGGTGCGATGGAGCGATAAAGTGGACGCGATGGCACGATAGCGATGCTGCGATGGTGCGATAGCGATGATACGATAACGCGATAACGATGAAGCGATGCTCTATCGTGTCATCATCAGTGCTCTATCGCACTATCGTCATCGCATTGTCGCACTATCGCGCTATCGACTCTTTTGCGCATGCGCCATTGAGAAGAGAAATGGTGTCAGGTTGTGAAAGTATGAACAGAATACATATCGGAAATAGATCTTACTGGGTGAATTAACTTCACTTGGCATAAAAATTAACCATGTCTTTATTGCCAGACATATAACAAGTTAGAAGATTATTAAAATATAGTTTGATAATCAAGATAAAGTTAACAATACACTCATGTTGTGAATGATGTAAAAGAAATCGAAATCTGCGTGATCTAGATTTTGGTTTCTAAACGGGGGGGGATTAATACTGTAGATTGGGAAATAATTACGTGGGAAATAATTACGATGGTTTTACTTTCACTATGTTCGCGATTGATTTTTTTCTGCAAAATTAAACCCATCGTGAATGCTATCATTAACTATTAAAACAAGTAAATGCATATACGAAATTTAAATTAATTTCTTGCATCGTGAAATCAGGGACCTACATGTATATACTAGTATATAGGTCCCTGGTGAAATTAAACCCATCGCTATTGTACTTTCTGAGAAAGCGATTTAAATTTAAAGCAAATACAAAACAAAAGTCTTCCTCCCTCTCTCCTCTTGGTACTTCGTGTTTGTTATTTAAAATATGATCATCAAATACAAAATCAAAGTCTGTAAATTATCACTGGGCAATCAAATCTTTGCTCGAATTAACTACCTGCTGAGAATGCCATCCTATCTATATAGTTGATAGAGCGATGGTGCGATGACACGATGTCGATAGCGCGATAAAGCAATAACGATGGCACGATATAGCATCGCATCATCACTGTCACGCCATCGCATTATCGCTATCGCACCAACGCATCATCGCTATCGTGCCATCGCGTCATCGCTCCATCGTACCATCGCATCATCGTCGTCGCGCTATCGCGCCATCGCATCATCGTCATCGCGCTATCGCGCCATCGCTTCATCGTTATCGCACCATCGCTTCATTGTCATCGCATTATCGTTTAATCGCACCATCGACTCAAATCTCTTTGGTACGATGATGCGATAGTGAACTGTGTGGCCCTATCATAATCATTATAAAAGAGTATTTTATTATTTTTACGAATTTACAAAGTGTACTGAGTATGAGAAAAAAATTACCAGAGCTACTCGATCGCCGAATTTTTCGAATTTCTCCAACATAAACTGTCCCAGTGGCTTCTGATCTAGCTGAAGGTCTCCGAGATTGGAAGTGTATACATTATTTAAAACTGCTGATGAACTGAAACATCTGATGCTGACTGGTTTAAAATGACACTGTTTCTTTCGACATCCATTATGTAGAAAACGGTTCGATTTTAGTCTGTTCAGGACAAGCCTCGTCCCTCTTTCAAAATGTTTCATCGTTTTCACCGAGGACATCTAAAAGATTTTACAATTTACTTTTTGGGAAAATATGATTATTTACATTCTTTCAAAAGGAACACATAGTTATCCATTAATTAGAATCTAAAATCAATACATATATTTTTATAAAAAATACAAACGTTAAGTCTATTTTCTACTGTGATATCTTGTTTTATACATTACTTGTATGAAGTTCTATTAACGATGATTAAATGGGGTAGAAGTCTGGAAAATGTGTCCGAGTTAATAAAAACTATAAAATATTATCATACTTATATACATACAGGTGTATAATGCGAGGTCATATTTATAACACCAAGCCATATAGAGCTAGAGGAAATATTGATACTTCTGAGTAATTAATTTGTGACAACGACAGTCAATTAAAAAAAATATCAATTATAATAAGTAACAAAACCAAAAATATAATTATACCCTTTAAACGGCAGGATGTTGTTAAAGATAATTGATCTTAAATAATTTCGTAGAAGTATACAGGTTCTAAAAAATTTGGTTACAACTTTAATTAAGTGCTATAAAAAGATTCTTAGCCTATAGATATGTAACACAACCAAATGATTGGGGTTTTTTTAACATCTAATTTTAATTAGATTGACTTTAATATATGCTTATGAATTCAACAGGTAATACGGAATTAAAAAATAAAGTTTTATGCGTCCATTAGGATTTCTATTATTTTATATATTGAATAATTCCTTTTCTGATTGGCTGAGATCCAACTATGTGGAAGAAATACTACATTATATTAACCTGCATTGATCTAAATAGAGAAATTCCGAATTGATACAAATTGCTTTGGAAAGCTATTGAAACGGCTTCTTTTTCTGGAAACAAAACAAAAGCGAATATATATTTTTTCGGGTGAGGGTGTCCATTAGAGACTCTAAAAAAATTTTATTTTTTCAACTCTCAGTTTTCCCTGATAATACCTTTCTTTTAAAATCTAACTTTAAAATGACTGACATTATATCTTTACTTTCATGGCAACTAAAACCATTTCAAATTGATACGACTGGTAATTTACATTTTAATTCCTTCTCTCTTGTATTTGGCTAATATAAAATGCAAAGAGGTAATGAGCTGTATCATTTTATCAGTGAATCGTATAATAAAAAATATATTTTTGGTAACAGGATTTAGCATAAGTTTACATGTGTATAGTTTGGATCTAACTTTTAAAAAAACATCTTAAAATAATGTAAAATATGCTCTCCCCTCTTTACAACTGCAATGTCAATTGTCCGGACAATTTCCTTCATGATAATCTATTGATAACAGGACATCAGTTTACACATAGTTTGGAAAACTTTTAAAAAACACTTAAATAATACTTATTTCTCCTTTTTCCCTGAACATAAAATATTTCATTTACCTTAGGATTAGCGGATAAAATAAGGAGATGTAGAAAATTTCTCCGAGATGCTAAGTATAGGAAAATCCCACAATTGAAAGGCAAGGAAGGGATAAAAATTATGGAGAAAATATAATATATTACATCATATAAAGCGCTTTAGGTCTATGATTACATTATGACGTCAAAAAGCAGTATAGCATCCTTCGAAAAGAAAGAAAAAAAAAAGAAAGATGTTCCGATACTAGGCCTACATATAAAATTATATAAAACATAATACAGCAGTATAGTGCATTTAATTTTTAGGCTTCAATTTTATAGATTTTATAGACATAATATAGGAACTGAACATTTGAGCATAGGTTAACCCCCCCCCCCCACTTTCACAGGCGCCTTGCAGTTTAGGTAAAAAAAAAAGGGTAAGTTGGAAGTGTTCGGAAAAAATGGTGCTGCAAGAAGTTCGATATCCCCCCCCCCCCGCACACACATACAACGAAATAATATTTTCTTGTTTGGACAATGGGCACCCCCTTTTTCGCTTGTTAAGTTTCTTTTGTAGGTTTACATTTTTTTCTTTCACTTAACACCCCTCTTTCAATTTGCTTCCGACACCAATGCTCCGTTGACCGCATATCCTAAATCTTGGTATGAAATGTTTGATCAACTTATCTGCCAGCAGCCTGCCTCAAGTGGTTTAGAAAATTAATTGTATTCTGTGCATGTTGCAGCTCTTCAGTATCAAAATATTGGAAGACATAAAATTATAACACTCTGTGCAGATGAAAGTACAATCTTACTACAACAATAAAGAGAGGTGACGGTGGAGATTATATATTTTTTTTAAAAATGCAACAGATACGTCATATGTTCACGGCTGACCTCCTTATGGGAAGTAGTGATGATCAGGCAGATTATGGTGCCTGCCTGCATGTCAATTTCTTTAAATCAGAAAGGCCTGGTGTCTTATCGTTAATGGAGGGTGACCATTTTTCTTGCAATAATTTCTTTCAAACACACAGAATGACATTGTTTTTGAAGAGTATTGACCTTGTTTTTTGAAGAGAAAGAACCAAGTAATCTTATGTTTGATCGACTTCAAGCTGAAACATTAAACCATAATGTAAAATTGGACAAGAGGTCTGCTTTACACTCTGTCATTGAGATACACAGAGTGTTCTCCTTCAAGACCTATGTCTGAAATGCTTAATCATTGCAACCATTCATTACTAGCACACTGGAAGTTAATGTAAATATATAGTATGTGTATATCTTTTTTATATATACACATACTATATATTTACATTAACTTCCAGTGCCCGTGACTAGCACATCGTGCACTCTGCATACTTTATTCTAACTCTATACAACTTTCACGATATATACTCTAAATATAGTCATTCTGACCTAGATAAATTTGAAGACTTGAGAAACCGAATAAAAGAAGAAATTGTGCAAATTAAAGAAAATCAATCAAACCTTCGGATCCTTTTTCAATGTACAATTTTCCAGCAAAAGATAAGAAACAGTTCGAAGTATTTTTCTTTTCTCTTCGATCAGACTGGTATGTTTACAGCTCAGTGTTTACATGTATCGTGGGGCTCCCACGGGAGGACTCGTCTTAGTATGCTAGGTTGGACTTTGCACCTGTGTGAGGAATGCAGTATAGGTAAAGGGATTAAACATATCCCCCAGCCCAGCAGAGCTCAGCAGACAAAATTTTAAAATCTTTCGTTGGGGTGGGAACAAGCTCATTCTGATAGGAAGCAATTCTACTAAAGGGGGGGGGGTACCAAAAATTCCCTGACAAATACTGTACAAAGACGTCCTCGATCAGACATTATTATTGAGGGGGGGGGGGGGCATAAGCAAATACATGTATACTAGCTATGTTTTCTGTAGTATTCTATATAAAGTCCGCGAAGAAGCCCCAGGGGAACCATGGGAACTGTGTCTTGACATGACAATTAAGACAGTATTTCATAGCTTTAAAATTTTAAAATCTTTCTTACTTCGGAGGTGGGAACAAGCTTTAGACACCAATTTCTTTCAAATCTTGATTTTGCACATTTTCGATTGGAAAAAAGGCAATTCAAAATAATATAAAAAGGGAGTGTGTTGGTGGTTCAAATACATCAACAAAACTTTGGTGGTATTGGAGAGGGTAAATCAGTTCGAGCAAAAGAGTCCAGGGGTTTCCAAATCAACTTCCAAAAATAAACTATATTAACGCAGGTCAAGAGTGAGGCCCCAAATTTCGGTTACACCACAGACACCCAGAGCCCACCCTTCTCTCCCTCTTCAATATGCCAATCCAGAACACAATTTTACAGAAGCATATAATTTAGGAACTCGGGCATACCATTGCCTTTGACCATCAAATACATGTATAGTAGAGAGTCTATGTTTTTTGTAAAAGTATTCTATATAAAGTCCGCTGTCTGTTAAGAAGCCACATTTCTTATCCGCAACTCCTCTTATACCACTGAGTAAAATTTAATGAAACTTTCACAATTTAAGATTGCCATTGTATTTTTTACTTTTTGAGCTTTATTTCTTAATTTTTGAAATTACAATGGCAGGCGGGGAGTATCATTTAGTGAGCTCATTCCTCACAGTACCTCTAGTTTATATCTGGGACTGGGTATGGGGTGTCCAGGGAAAATAATGTTTTTTTTAAAATTGTTTATTGATCATACATGTAAAGTTAAGTTGATGTTGAATGGTTTCAGGCAATGTGAGATATACATGTTACATGTATACATGATGTATGTAGGATATATTTGTAACACACAGAGTGAACAACTTTAAGATTTTCCTCCTACAAATAACAGATATAGATGGAAAAAAACTATTGCAATTAATGTCTTTTTATTTTTTTCTTTTATTGTCGATTTTTAAGCAGAATTTGACAATTTTTCATGAAGTTCAAACTTTCCTAAATTTAAAAAACTTTGATACCACAAAGCTAATGTATATAAAAATAAACACATAGGGTAAATCACAGAAACATTTTAGTGTCTCACAGAAAAGAAATAAGATTAAACAATAACAATGTAAACACAGAATTGGTCTATCTCACACCCCACTGTAAACACTAAAATAAACTATAACGCAGGTCAAGAGTGAGGCACCACCGGGTTTCGGGAAGTTACACAGACCCTTCCCCGCGAGCCCACCCTTTCCAGGGTGGAGGTCAGGGCTATAATCTGTATGTGGTCGCTCTCTTTACAATATGCCACCTCCAAAATACAATTTTTACAAATAGCATATATATATTGTGTAAAATGGGAGAGGAGAAAAGTGCAGCGGATATGACCAGAGATTCAGGGGGCCCAGCTTCGAATTCCGGTCTGGTCCACTGCATTTTGCTCCTCTCTGGTTACAATTGAAATGTGATTGTATTTGGAATTTAGAGAGTTTTTTTCAAATGTGTATTTATTTATCTATTTCTATGTAAATTCTGGGTAAACCCATTGGGTGACTTTGCTCAGGGAAAATACTGTTTTTTTTTAAATGATTATTGGGTAATACATGTATAAGTTAAGGGCATGATGTTGGGATATGTATGTGAAAGGCAATGTCCTTGAAAAAAAGTTATTATCCCCCCCCCCTCCCCCCCCCCCCCCCTGATGGATTGTATACTATTTCCTTTTTTTTTTTTTTTTGTTTGTAACTTTTCCAGGATATATTTGTAACACACAAAAATGCTAGTGTATCACTTTAATATTTTTCTACTATAAATATTTATGCAGATATTGATTATTGTCTTGTATCAAAAAAAATTCAATTGGTTATTTTGAATGTCTTTTTATTTATTTTCTTTTATTGTCGATTTTCAAATAAATAACTCAAATAATTTAAAACCAGTTCCTGGAAAGTTTTTGTGGAATAATGAAAAAATTACACAAAAATATTCACAGCAAACTATTCCAAATTAAATTTTCATTTTTGCATAAATAGTGATTCCTCTCTAAAGCCTTCAGCTCAACACTTGTTGAATGTGCAAAAATATCGCTAAACTTATAAGAGAGGACCTCTATAAAACACGTAAAATAAACACATACATACAGTATATGTTCCATAAACAGAAAAAATTATGAAAAACATTTTAATGGAGAATATAGGAAAATGTTCTCACAAGAAAAGAAATTATGAAATTTGAAAAAATTACAGAAACACATGTAAACATTAATAACAATATTAATAAAAATCCAAAGTCATTCTGGAAATTACTATAAATTACAATACGCCAAATTTCTCTCATGATGTTCACACTGCAGTTTTATCAGTTTTTTAAAAAACTTAACAAAGCCCAACAATCACACATAAAAGTATAATAGATAAATTTCATGTCAGAAAAACTACATCATAACCATTTCCTGGCCTGTACACTGTGAAATAGGAATGTTACCACTGAAAAATGGAAAGAGTTCTTCTATAGATATGATATCAAATGAAATGTTAAAAAATGGTGATTACACTGGTTTAACTTTATACTTCCCCGGTATATTCCAAAAAGTTGGACTCCACCCTGTATAAGTCGGCACCCCCTAGGGTATATCAATTACTTCAAATCAGGAAAACTATAATACTGGCTACTTGAATGGTCGCTCTCTTTAAGTGAAAACCAAATTAGGAAAATTCCACCTCCTGAAAAACAATAAAGAACCAAAAACAAAAAGGTTTATGCTGCTTTTATTGTCTGAAAAGCATTTGACACTGTATGGAGATTAGGTTTATTTTATAAACTTCTTGAATGTAATATTTCCCAAAAAATGTACCATAAACCATTACAGTCTGAACAGAATGGATTAAGTGATGTATTCAACATGTGGTGTCACCATAAACCATGTTTTTACAGTCCATGACTTAAAAAATGGAAATTGTGATCCTGTACCATAAACAATATTCATGTAAATTGTCTGTTATATGCAGATGATATTGTAATCTTCCCAAAAGCGGTTTACAACATTACCATAAACCATTACAGTCTGAACAGAATGAATTATCCCCCAACATTACCATAAACCATTACAGTCTGATTTACAGAATGAAGTATCCAACAGCTGTGCTTATTGAAAAGGCCAAAAAGCATTACCATAAACCATTACAGTCTGAACAGAATCTTTGAAGTACTCCCCCCAACATTACCATAAACCATTACAGTCTGAACAGAATTCATTAAAGTATCCCCAACATTACCATAAACCATTACAGTCTGAACAGAATTCTGAAGTTTACCCCCCAACATTACCATAAACCATTACAGTCTGAACAGAATGAAGTACAGGTTCCCCAACATTACCATAAAATACTATATATTGTGTAATGGGAGAGGAGAGAAATGCAGCGGACCTGACCGGAGATTCAGGAGGCCCAGCTTCGAATTCCGGTCTGGTCCACTGCATTTTGCTCTTCTCCAGTTACAATGGATATGTGATTGTATTTGGACTCTTATTTACAGCTTTTAATTTTTTTCAAATACCCGATATGTATAACATATCTATCCATTATATATAAATTCTGATCGATAAACCCATTGACTTGACTCTGCTTTAATACAGTTTTTTTAACTTCCAATCATTTATGCAACATAAACAAGTAAAAAGGGTGAATCAGCTCACAAATTATCTTATATTACCACTTTGGAGCCCCCGATTAATGATAACTGACATTTATCAGAACAATGACCTCAAATTCTGTGTCAAATACACACCAGGTCAGACATTTTGTGGAATGCTCTGGGTAATGTACTGAGGAGTAAACCATTTTCTGCCCCGAGTATACTATATTTGATAGCTTGTTACGGACTTTGATACCCAACCTTTACTTTCCTAAATACATGTCTACATAAGATAAAGTGGTTTAACTGGGACATTTAAACACGTGTATAACCTATCCATGTCTGCAATAAAATCTTCATTTTGTTGATTATCAGTCTAAGTGATTTCTTAATACGATGACAATATATTTCAATCCCTACCTGATTGCAGAACTCCTTAATTCCTCTTTCTCCTTCAATGAAATTACTGAAAAATTCAGCCTCCTTTTGCAGATGACCAGAAACAACCAACCTACAAAATTTCACTTTTTTATAGACATAACATTATGAAGTAACCAGACTCATAACTTATAGTATACATATATTGTATTTTTAAAAAAAAGTTATTTTTGCAGTTGCAATGGCTTCAGATCTAAAGCTCAGCAATTTAAAGAAATAAACTAGCTGTAGATAGTATAAAAAAAATTATTACAGATCTGGAGCTCATTGGTGTGAACAAATAGATGGTTCAGATCTGTAGCTCACTGGTGTGAACAAATTAGATGATGCAGATCTGTATCTCATTGGTGTGAACAAATTAGATGGTGCAGATCTGAGATTTACTCTAATCCTAACCCTGGTGTGAACGAATTAGATGGTTCAGATCTGTAGCTCACTGGTGTAAACAAATAGATGGTTCAGATCTGTAGCTCATTGGTATGAACAAATAAGATGGTTCAGATCTGTAGCTTATTGGTGTGAACAAATTAAATTGTTCAGATCTGTAGCTCACTGAAGTAAACAAATTAGATGATGCAGATCTGTAGCTCATTGTTGTGAACAAATTAGAAGATGCAGATCTGAGATTCACTGTTACCCTAACCATGGTGTGAACAAATTAGATGGTTCATATCTGTTGATCACTGGTTTGAACAAATTAGATGGTTCAGATCTGTAGATCACTGGTGTGAACAAATGAGATGGTGCAGATCTGTAGCTCATTGGTGTGAACAACATAGATGGTGCAGATGTGAGATTCACCCTAACCCTAACCCTGGTGTGAACAAATTAGATGGTTCAGATCTGTAGCTCATTGGTATGAACAAATCAGATGATTCAGATCTGAGATTCATTGGGTGAACAAATTAGATGGTTCAGATCTGTAGCTTATTGGTGTGAACAAATTAGATAGTTCAGGTCTGTAGCTCACTGGTGTGAACAAATTAGATGGTGCAGATCTGTAGCTCATTGGTGGGAACAAATAAGATGATGCAGATCTGTAGCTCATTGGTGTGAACAAATTAGATGATGCAGATGTGAGATTCACAAAACCCTAACCCTGGTGTGAACAAATTAGATGGTTCAGATTTGTAGCTCATTCATGTAAACTAATTAGATAGTTATGATCTGTAGATCATTGGTGTGAACAAATTAGATGGTGCAGATCGCAGATCTGTAGATGTGTGTGGAATGAAGAATTAAATGAAGCATGACAAAAATATAGGATCAGTTTCCATGATTTGTGGTTGGATATGCATTAGGCATAGGCAAGGGGATAAAACACAGAGGTTGGATGAAAATCATCAAAGAAGATTCTTTTATCAAGCTTTATACATACTTATCAGTTTTTTTACGCCGATATTTAACACATTTCAACAGAGTTGGCAGGGATATAGTTATAAATACGCTTGTGTGTGAGTTAACATTGCCGTGTGCAAAACAGAAATATTATTTGCATTGGGATCAATGTCAAATACTGCCTTGATTAATTACAGATCTACATGCTTTTTTGGGAGTAGATCGACCATATTCCCCTTTGTGTTGCCTTTGCTTTTTTAAAATATATAAATCCACTGAATATTACTTCATTACTTTATGCAAAAATCATTGTGACATCACAAGTGCTATATGAAAAACAATATCCAATGAGTAATACCCTTAGGATAAAGGGGTAAACATCTAACATGTGATAAAGTTGGTTAATAAGAAACCACATAACAACACATTATGTATGGACACAGTGTTTTACATTAATTTTTTTTAATTTCAATTTAAACTGTTAATTATAGCTTTTCAAGAGTATAATTTTTGTCACAGGAATGGGGACATGTTTTAGAATGTAGTACATCATGCATTAAATGCAAAAACTAAACTTTTTTCTGTTTGAAATATTTTATTGTTTGTCACAATATAAATCAACACATACAGTCAATTCTCAGACATACCGCCATGTTTCCCCAGAACGTTGATATAAAATTCTATAACAAATTAAATGCAAACAAACGTCCATTTTTAAGTGTCAATTATCTCGATAATACCGCCACAGGTGCGTGTTGTCAAGCGCGGCTCATTGGTTATGACAATGTTGTAAAGCATGTAAAGGCAGACAAGGTACATGCAATTAAGTAATTAAACAAAAATTAGTAAACAATAATTTTAACATGAACTGTTATAATAATTTTATTTCTGTTTATTAAAAATCATTTAGTCATGGGTTCGCCACGAAAGCGGTCCTTGTTAAAGTGAGCCGATAACGATATTATTTTGATGATCTCTGCCTTAAACGATGCTGAAAAAAATAATTATACAGTATAATCAATGATGCCATAAACAGTGAATTTATTGAAGAATTCACATACTGCAATATATCACGACGATGCTAAGCATAGAGTATCAATTTTGTTTTGCTTATACATAAAAAAATTACAAATCTTTAAATTTAGTGTAATTTTATATACATGTTCATGTAATAATAAGAATAGAACCTAACTCTACTTGTTTCCTAAAAATGGGAAATTCAATTCATCGCCAAATTCGTTATACCGCCATGATTTCTATATTACAAAAGGTGGCGGTTTATCGAGAATTAACTGTACTTGGAATGATAAAGTATCAATGGCTTTGCTGTTCTACAGAAAGTAAATATGCATAAGGTAAAACCTGCTCCCTGCCCTGTCACACCAAGATGTGTCCCCAGGAGATTTTACAGCATTGTTAAATTTTTCAAATCACTGTGAAATCGCAGGGAAAATACACAATTTCTCTAAAATTTTCACAATATAAAGACGTCACAGAGTCCTTATAGCAATCAGTGTGTTTCTACAGCTTTTTTGCAGCAAGCTACTGTGTCCCCATGGAGATATTTTGGCATCTGACTGCACTTCTGCAGAGTTTACACAGCGTGCCAGGAGTTGTCATCTCGCATACACATATTAAATGTTAAGTATGGAAGTACATGTATCAACTGATCAAAAGTTAATGGCCGAAGTTAAATTTTGGTAATTTTGGATAAGAGTGGGTCAAACTCTAAGGTCAATGTCAAGAGGTCAAATTGGTACCCAAAAGGAAGGTCCTGTCACAAGGAATATGCCTGTGAAATATGAAAGCCATAGCCCATCCACTCAAATTCTCTTGAAAACAAGAAAAAGCATCCAGAATTATTTTTGAAAGAAAAAGAGTTGGGGGCTTTGATGCCCACTCTGACATTAAGAAGCTCCTTTCTTTTTATTTTATTATCATAAGTTTTTATAAATGTGCATTTTTGCTGAAAAATCTGATGACACTGCAGGATTTCATCAAGTCAGAGAGAAAGTGTTGTGTTTAACCTTAAGGGTGAATTGTTGTTAAAAGAAAATGAGGTGAAAAGTTGTTAGAAAACATTAAAACTGTTAGTATGAGAAAAGTATAAATAGACTTTATTCAGGTATTTCTAGGCCACAATTTGAATGAATTTTTATCTATCATACATAAGGAAGTTCTCAAATAAGTGGTAAACTCTCTCACTTTCAACTTAAAATTTTACTCTTTGTTCCTATGTTGCTAATAGTAAATCCACCTGTCATCCAATATAATAAACATTAATAGGGCTGGGTACCAGCTGGGAATTTCATATGGCAATATACTGTGATATTTTGTATGTAAGCCATCTATCTTGCAATATTTTCAATAACCCGTTATGCATAAATTATCCCACGTTTCCAACTATCGTTGATGTCCCTAGCATACTCTACTAACTAGACAGTGATTCCTTATATTTCCATTCCATGGTGAAATAAATTTGTAAATTTAGATCTTAAAAATGTAGACTAATAGAATAAATAGATTTATATTATACAATGCCTCCTATGTCAATTTCAATAGTGCCCGCCCATTGCCATCAAACACAAAGAGAGTCGCACAAGACTTGCATGCATATCTGGCCTCCTCAGCATCAGACACAAAGACAGACACACAAGATTTACATGCACGTTAGGCGAAATTTACATGCCAGTAGAATGAACAAGAAATCAAATCAACTAAATCCTTTCAAAGAGTTATAACAGTGAAAACAAATAGAAATGGGAATATATAGTAATCAAGGTTTGACACATGGTGTCTAATCTTGACTATTTGGGTATAGTGCATGCAAAGTACAACACTATTGTTTTCTTATTTATACTAACTGCTGCATAAAAACGACATTAATTTTTTTCCACATTGGACAGACAATCTTAAAGTACATGTATTGAGTTCAGTTCCCAGCATGGGTGATGTTAGATTTTGTTTAGAAAAAGAAGCAGTGCACTTTCTTTTTGCATAGTATGCTTACACCAATAAATCCTAAGAACACTATGTGAAACTATTTAGGTATTGATTCTATAGAAACAACTGTCAGAAAGCTAACAGTAACTTAATTGATCTAACTATTGGTAACACTTTGAGTTGACAGGGTCAGATCATCATCGAACAAGTTGTGAAGCCTCACGTTTGATCTGATGATCCTCACCTGTCAACATGATTTGACATGGCTCTTCCGATCAAGTTTCTGTTATAATGATAATTCTTTTATATATACCCATCTACAATTAACAAGATGTATTTTAAACAGGGTATTCATTACCTATATGTGTCAACCTCTATTTTAAAATAACTTGTTTATAGTGAGTAAATCATTATTTTTTAACACCCTTGAAGATGAGCCCATTATTGTTATTAGATAAATCTCCACAGTCAAACAAGCTGATCTAGATGACATTTAACAATTGGAAGGGGCATAACTCTTTGTCAAGCTAAATCCTTGAAGAGAAAAAAAAACATATATTAAAATAAGCATTTGATGAGAGTTTATATCTTTAATGTACAATACATAACCCTACCTTAGGAAGACCACCAGATAATCCGACAGTCCCTGGTCATTAAAGGTTTGTAGTAACTCATCTAATGTACATGTCTCCAATTTGTTCACTACATCCATGAACTGAAAGACAATCATAAAGTCTCAATCTTGTAAATGGGGTGAAATGGTTCAACTTTCTTTTACCTGAATTTCAGAATGTTTGATATAAAAACATATACAACTACTAGAACATCAATTTTTCAATCTGACAAGATGTGGCTGAAATTTATACCACATCAGCACATGGATATCACACCAGAAAGACCTACTTGATGTGAGTGTATGCAATATCTAAACTGAGCAGACAGTCAACATCCTAGTTTTCAGGATATACTGTACCGATTGACATATTTTAGGGGGAATTCATTTTTTTTTAAATACTGGATATAAATAAAACAGGTAAAGTACACTAACTCACATTTTCATGAAAATCATCAATAGTAAATTCTGGAAATCCTAATTGAATTAAACCATCTCTTGTCTTTTGGGCTACTTCTTTAAATCTACAAAAAAGATAAAATGATGTAACATAATGATATTAATATTAGCAAAAATGTAATCAACAATGTGTTCCATTAACACAAATGCCAAAATGAGTTGCCATTTCTAATGAAAAACTGACTCAGACAATGCACTTTTTTCTGCCAGTGACCTTGAACTTGCCTTAATGAATACTGGTCAAGGTCCTAAAACAGTATAAACTCCAGTGATAATATTTCTCCATTACAAGAAAAGCCAGAATAAGAACTGAACTTTTTAAAAAGAGACTTTGAAATGACTTTGGTTCATAGGCATGACACACTTTGGTTTTTGTTAAAGACAGGTGATACAGACAAACTTTTGTCAACACTTGAGTCATTTTGTTTTGAGTAAAATGAACAAGTTTCACTGCATAGTTTTTATTTTTCATTCAAAATTTCAAAATAATCGAATTTGAAGTGAAAAAAAAATTGTATAGATTAACAAGGATGGTTGCAAAAAGTTTGAATTTTGAATACATAGAAGATCCAATTATTTGCATCATTTGCAAAAGTAGACCCAAAAATATATACCAATCCAGGAATCCATTTCTTTTTTGTTTGTATCATCTGTCCATAATGTTAGTGCAAATGTTAAACCCCAATACATGCACTTTGCATAAAAGAGCTATGGAATGTAAAGGAATTATACAATACTCTGAAATTACCCTTGAACAAGTGACCTTTTCAAAATATACCCTCCTAATCTTTCTGTGAAGTATGAAGGTTAATGTTTCTCCATCAGAAAGTTATGGACAAGATACAACTACATTTCTTCTCACCAGAGACCTTGAACTTGCCATAATGACTTTGCTTAAGGTCCACTTGCTGCAATAATGTTACCCTCTCCGATTTTTTTAAATCTGATGTTTTCTGGAGGAGAGGGCTACATTACAGCTAAAAGTCAACAAGTCATGTATCCTCTTTCAACATATTTCCATTCGAGAGTAAATGTATCAAAATGAAGCAAACACTTTTCTTCCAGTGACCTTGCACATTCTTAGGTCTGAAGCAATCTTTGTGTCAAGTATCAGCTATCAATGTTTCTCCATTGGATGCTAGGCAAGAACAAGAATTTCATAGTTTTTTAAAGTGAATCTGATTATTTTTTTACAGAAATTATAAGGAATAAGTAATAACTGATCTTCAGATAGCAACAAAAATACATCGACCTTGGCTTTTAACTTATTGAAAACATGCACATTCTCCAAATTATCAATTTGAAGTAAATGTGATACATGTATAATTTATTAAAATGGAATTTTTAATTAACATGGAATATTAATCATCAGCGTAATCCGATGTATACTTGTAATTATGGCCTGGCCATGTCAAGGCCCGATTGTGACTCTGATTTGGAGTCACTATCGCACTTTGGAGTCTTACATTGATATAAAGAGATTCATTTCAATGTTCTTTCGCTAACAAAGGCATCTGGTTCTGAGGCCATAAAACTTAGACAAGCTCACTTTTGATCTCAGTCTCACTTAAACAAATGGAATATATAGGGGAAAAGTGAGACTGAAATCAAAAGTGAGCTCATCTAAGTTTTATATCCCACAGGCCTAAAACAATTAAGTGAAAGATAAAAGTTCTCTCACCTGTTATAATCTGATTTGTCTTCCAGTAATGTTTCAAAATATCGGAATCCAAATGCTCGGTAGAAACAGTTACCATCACCTCTTACTTTGCGCACACATGAGAAACGATTTTTTAAATCCTGCAATATACAATATAAGCATATTAATATACTTATTTTGGAGCTATCATTTAACAGCCAAGAATAAGCAGTTTTGCAAGGCAACCAGACACATGAACTGAATTTTATCCTTAGATTCCTGCCAATCAAGGCGCAGATTTCAAATTGCTGTTTGGTATCCGTTGAATATAAAAATACCATTTTAGTGGTACATGTACTTGCATAATCTACCAAGGTCATGTTTGGAGCATACTAGACAAAAAAGCTTGTCAATGAGCTTTAAAAGCATGAAAATTTGCATTCATTTTATTAATACCATGATTCATAGCTGCATATTAAAATGTTATGTGAATGAATTTGAGCCTTAAGTGGAGAATTCTCTCTGAAGCTTACTTGTATATAAATAAACTCAATCACCTTAAGGTCAGATTCTTCTCTGGTTTCTGACTAGATGGAATATTCAAATTAAATTTGTTGATATGTCTTATATATTTAGATGTAAGAGATTTAAAAGACCATATTTTTCTTTCCTCATCACAATATTAGTTATTACAACTTTGAATAGAAATGGTAAACTGCGTTTGAAAACTAGCAGGGACTATATTTTTGGCGGAATGGTGGCGTATGAAAATTTCTGCCTCTCAAAATTATTATAGAACATTGAATTTAGTTATAATTTTTACGCAATCAAAGACTAGATGAAATTTTCAAATGTAAGTTAAATTAATAACAAGAGGCCCAGGGGCCACAGCGCTCACCTGAGCACATCAGGCTTGAATTTACTCCCCCCCCCCTTCCAGGCGTTCATCATTTGAACAAACTAGAATCTACACTACCTGAGGATGATTCCATATAAATACCCCGGGTATCACTAATCATAGCTTTGAAGTACTTGAAAAGAAGATTTTAAAATGTTTCCCTATATATCCCTATGTAAAACTTGGGTCGGCCATTTTGGCCCCACCCTATCCCCAGGGCCGGGGGTCATGATTTGAAAAAACTTGAATCTACACTACCTGAGGATGATTCCACATGAGTTTCATCTTTCCTGGCCCAGTGGAAGTTGAGAAGGATTTTTAAAAATATTTCCTATATATTCCTATGTAAAACTTGGGTCAGCCATTTTGGCCCCATCCTTGCCCCGGGGGTCATGATTTGAACAAACTTGAATCTACACTACCTAAGGATGATTCCACATGAGTTTCATCTTTCCTGGCCCAGTGGTTCTGGAGAAGAAGATTTTTAAAGATTTTTCTTATATATTCCTATGTAAAACTAGGGTCAGCCATTTTGGCCCCATCCTTGCCCCGGGGGTCATGATTTGAACAAACTTGAATCTACACTACCTGAGGATGATTCCACATGAGTTTCATCTTTCCTGGCCCAGTGGTTCTGGAGAAGAAGATTTTTAAAGATTTTTCCTATATATTCCTATGTAAAACTTGGGTCGGCCATTTTGGCCCCACCCTATCCCCAGGGCCGGGGGTCATGATTTGAACAAACTTGAATCTACACTACCTAAGGATGATTCCACATGAGTTTCATCTTTCCTGGCCCAGTGGTTCTGGAGGAGAAGATTTTTAAAGATTTTTCCTATATATTCCTATGAAAAACTTGGGTCTGCCATTTTGGCCCCACCCTTGGCCCAGGGGTCATGATTTGAACAAACTTGAATCTACACTACCTGAAGATGATTCCACATGAGTTTTATCTTTCCTGTCCTAGTGGTTCTTGAGAAGAAGATTTTTAAAGATTTTTCTTATATATTCCTATGAAAAACTAGGGTCGGCCATTTTGGCCTCATCTTTGCCCCGGGGGTCATGATTTGAACAAACTTGAATCTACACTACCTAAGGATGCTTCCACATGAGTTTCATCTTTCCTGGCCCAGTGGTTCTGTAGAAGAAGATTTTTAAAGATTTTTCCTATATATTCCTATGTAAAACTTGGGTCGGCCATTTTGGCCTTACCCTTGCCCCGGGGGTCATGATTTGTAAAAACTTGAATCTACACTACCTGAGGATGCTTCCACATGAGTTTCATCTTTCCTAGCCCAGTGGTTCTGTAGAAGAAGATTTTTAAAGATTTTTCCTATATATTCCTATGAAAAACTTGGGTCTGCCATTTTGGCCCCACCCTTGGCCCAGGGGTCATGATTTGAACAAACTTGAATCTACACTACCTGAAGATGATTCCACATGAGTTTTATCTTTCCTGTCCTAGTGGTTCTTGAGAAGAAGATTTTTAAAGATTTTTCTTATATATTCCTATGAAAAACTAGGGTCGGCCATTTTGGCCTCATCTTTGCCCCGGGGGTCATGATTTGAACAAACCTGAATCTACACTACCTAAGGATGCTTCCACATGAGTTTCATCTTTCCTGGCCCAGTGGTTCTGTAGAAGAAGATTTTTAAAGATTTTTCCTATATATTCCTATGTAAAACTTGGGTCGGCCATTTTGGCCTCACCCTTGCCCCGGGGGTCATGATTTGTAAAAACTTGAATCTACACTACCTGAGGATGCTTCCACATGAGTTTCATCTTTCCTAGCCCAGTGGTTCTGGAGAAGAAGATTTTTAAAGATTTTTCCTATATATTCCTATGTAAAACTTGGATCGGCCATTTTGGCCCCACCCTTGCCCCGGAGGTCATGATTTGAACAAACTTGAATCTACACTACCTGAGGATGCTTCCACATGAGTTTCATCTTTCCTGGCCCAGCGGTTCTGGAGAAGAAGATTTTTTAAAAATGCCATTAATTTTTAACAAATTCATGATTATCTCCCCTTGGAATAGGGCGTGGCCCTTCATATGAACAAACTTGAATCCCCTTTACCCAAGGATACTTTGTGCTAAGTTTGGTTGAAATTGGCCCAGTGGTTCTTGAGAATAAGATGAAAATATGGAAAGTTTACAACAACGACAATGACAACGACGACAGACAACGGACAAATTTTGATCAGAAAAGCTCACTTGAGCCTTCGGCTCAGGTGAGCTAATAAGGGACTAAAGTTTCAAAATATATCAAATAAATAAGATTTTTCACACATACTAGAACTATGTAGGCTTTTAAATGCTTCAAATCTAAGTACAGATTTGAGCCAAAAATCCGTAAAAGTGTTATTTCTCTCTTAGTAAATGATCAAAACTTTTAGTTTTTGTATCATTTTGTACCTTTATGTGACAACTTTACTATATGTGAAAATTGGAATAAGTTAAATATAGGAAGCATATAAAAATAACTAATAAATCCTAAAAATTTAAGAAAAGTAGAGGAAATTCTGATTAGCAAATATCCATTTTATTTAAATTATCGATGTCAATTGGTAATATCATCTTATATGCCCTATAAACATTCCTTCTTTTTAATTACAAGTAGGGATCGCATGATTGGAAACAGTAATTTTTTATTCTTAATGTCCAGGAAAAAGGTAATGACCTTGACCTGACCTTGCCTCTAATATTAAACAGTCAAACTTAATCTCACTGATACCATCACATAGTGATATTGTCCTCTTGATTCTGTGAAAATTTTATTAATTTTTAAATACAAGAAATGTGAGAAGAATCCTACTTTAAAGATACCGAATTCATTTATTTCAGCTGCTAATACTCACTAAGATCCTTTTTTTTTATCAACTTAGCATAAACATGTACGTGTATGTATCGCTTAACAGTAAACGAAATAATTCAGAATTAGTAATTAGTTTTTTGTGTATATTTTATATAAGCTTGTGATACCTGTACTTTGTGTATACTTTATATAAACTTGTGATACCTGCAGTGTATACTTTATATAAGCTTGTGATACCTGTACTTTGTGTATACTTTATATAAGCTTGTGATATCTGTGCTTTGTGTATACTTCATTTGAGCTTGTGATACCTGTGCTTTGTGTATACTTTATATAAGCTTGTGATACCTGTAGTGTATACTTTATTTGAGCCTGTGATTCCTTTACGTTGTGTATACTTTATTCTAGTTTGTGATACCTTGTACTTAGTGTATACTTTATATAAACTTATGATACCTGTACTTTGTGTATACTTTATATGAGCTTGTGATACCTGTACTTTGTGTATACTTTATATAAGCTTGTGATACCTGTACTTTGTGTATACTTTATATGAGCTTGTCCTGCACTTTGTGTATACTTTATATAAGCTTGTGATACCTGTACTTTGTGTATACTTTATATAAGCTTATGATACTAGTACTTTGTGTATACTTTATATGAGCTTGTGATACCTATACTTTGTGTAAACTTTATATGAGCTTGTGATACCTGGTACTTTGTGTATACTTTATATAAGATTGTGATACCTGTACTTTGTGTATACTTTATATGAGCTTGTGATACCTGTACTTTGTGTATACTTTATATGAGCTTGTGATACCTGTACTTTGTGTATACTTTATATGAGCTTGTGATACCTGTACTTTGTGTATACTTTATATAAGCTTGTAATACCTGTACTTTGTGTATACTTTATATGAGCTTGTGATACCTGTGTTTGTGTATACTTTATATGAGCTTGTGATTGTACTTTGTGTATACTTTATATAAGCTTGTGATACCTGTACTTTGTGTATACTTTATATGAGCTTGTGATACCTGCACTTTGTGTATACCTTATATGAGCTTGTGATACCTGTACTTTGTGTATACTTCATATAAGCTTGAGATACCTGTATTTTGTTTATACTTTATATAAGCTTGTGATACCTGTACTTTGTGTATACTTTATATGAGCTTGTGATACCTGTACTTTGTGTATACTTTATATGAGCTTGTGATACCTGTAGTGCATACTTTATATAAGCTTGTGATACCTGTACTTTGTGTATACTTTATTTGAGCTTATGATACCTGTACTTTGTGTATACTTTATATGAGCTTGTGATACCTGTACTTTGTGTATACTTTATATGAGCTTGAGATACCTGTACTTTGTGTATACTTTACATAAGCTTGTGATACCTGTACTCTGTGTATACTTTATATGAGCTTGTGATACCTGTAGTGTATACTTTATATAAGCTTGTGATACCTGTCTTTGTGTATACTTTATTTGAGCTTGTGATACCTGTACTTTGTGTATACTTTATATGAGCTTGTGATACCTGTACCTTGTGTATACTTTATATGAGCTTGTGATACCTGTACTTTGTGTATACTTTATATGAGCTTGTGATACCTGTACTTTGTGTATGCTTTATATAAGCTTGTGATACCTGTACTTAATGTATACTTTATATGAGCTTGTGATACCTGTACTTTGTGTATACTTTATATAAGCTTGAGATACCTGTATTTTGTTTATACTTAATATGAGCTTGTGATACCTGTATTTTGTGAAGGTAAATTTGATCTTCCTCTGAATACTCAGCACTGAACTCATCGAAGCTAATTCTGTTGCTGATTAAGGCTTGAGTCCTGGCAATCTATAAAACACCATAAAATGATACAACAAATAAGAACTATGATTATCCAAATATGTAAAGATAGCACTTGCAAATGCAATAAATAATGAAAAAAACAAAACAAAACAAAACAAAGAACACATGTTCACATATTCCATTTATAAGAAACACAATAACGATGAACAGACTGACACAGTGTCATTAAAATTTGAAACAACATTATAAAGTTGAATGTGTGTAAAACTTGGAAAAAAATTGCATTCAATATGGTACAAAGGTATAAGCCAACTGTTTTCAAAAACATAATACGACAGAAAGAGAGATTGAATTATGCTTCCAATCTTTGATCTTTGTGGAGATAAAAACATGGTAATAAATTATATTACATTTGTATCACATAAAATAAGGACTGATCATTCGTACCTCCTTTTCAATTTCAGACTGTTGTGCCAGAGTTGCCTCATCATAATTCTTTTCTGTATCAAATATAATACATATTGTTTATAAGTGGATTAAATAAAAATGGCCTATAAATATTAAACCAACAATCTGTGTTAAATTATTTAGATAAAAGTTTATTTTCTAGCTGAAAAATGAATTATCTATACTGTACTAGCATCACTTTTTATGCAATGTTATATTTTCCACATTAAAAAAAACAAAACAAAAGAGCTGAAGAGGCCCAAGACCCAAAATGCTCATTTGTCAGAGTCTTTTGCATTCTTCGAAAGATTTTCCCTCGATATTCCCATGATTTTTTTTTACCCCAAATCATTTGGTAAAATAGCTAAATAAAGCTATATTATATAGGTAAATTAAGCTATATAGCTAAATATAGTGATTTTCCTGGACATGTTCAGTACAGTGACTACAGTTGAAAGATCAAGGAAGAAATGTACACTACTATACATTGTACTGACTGTAGTTATCATTATAGCAATTCTTCTTTAAGATTCTATATTTATTTATTGGATGAAAACTGATAAAGTACTGTGACTACAGTTGAAAGATACGATACATCAGAAATTCTGATCAGTACTTTATTGGAAGAAGAAAGATCAAGAAAAAAATTTACTATACACTGTACTGACTGCAGTTATCATCTGAGCCGTTCCAAGCAAAAACCCCCCTTATGTAATCTGACAGAATTTTACGTCACAATAGAAAAAGCGACATCATTGTTTTGCAACAAAAACTGCGATCAAAATATATCGCGCACTGACTTCGATCTAACTTTATGCTTTGTTTTACGTCACAGAATTTTCTCCGTTGTGCTTACTGCATATTTTCTTTCATGACTATTGTCTATTTCATAACATATCTGACTCTGATTGTTGTCAAACTACATGTGCATTACACACTAAAACGACCCAAGAGTGTTCTGATTCAATACATAAAATTTGTCAACACTTCAACAATTATTCTGTTCCATGTACATGTACAATATAAGTTTTCAGTTAAACTAAATAAAACATGCAACTGTTGTTTAAAATTTAGATTTACGACACTTTCTTATTCAACAACGACAAAAAAATAATTACATGTAATGATGATATTGTGTAAAAAAAAAAATTTAAAAAGGGAGGAAGAGTAGTTTGATTTTTTTTTAATCCGAAGTCTTGGCGAAAATTCATTGGACTTCATTACATGTCAAGAAAACTGCACAGGAATTAACACCATACAAAATTGAATGACAGAATTGTTAAACCACACCAATGGCAGATCAAAATCCAGGGTATTTTTTCATTTATTGTAGACCCATAACCTCTTGGAAGAAAAGTGACACTAGTTCAGCTAACAAAGCTACATTCATTGAATAGACGTATATACATTTATATCCGACATTCTCCTTTTTTTGTTATGTGTTGAAAAGATAGATAACTTGTTAATACTGTTGTAACACCCCCCTCCCACAACCACTACCAAAAAAAATTTCAAAGAATATAAGTAATAAAGCATATATAGAAATAAACACATACCTTTTTACAAAATTTTGGAAGTTTTGAAAAGTACCGAATTTGACATGCACACGTACATTAATTATCTAATTGCGTGTCAAGTTATTCTAACCCCCCCCCTTCCACAATGCTAGATCTTGAAAAATCAGAGAGCTAGGAGTATTTGTCATAATTATTATAAACGCTTGGAAAACGTTCTGACATGTTTTTTTAAAAGTATGTGCATCGGAAAATATTAAAAAGCGTTATCATTTTTTAGTGGACCTGTACCAAGACAACTCTTTGATATTGTAGATGCAAATGTGAAAAAAATAAAATGAGAAATAATAGTTAGTTTATTTTATCAGTATATATTGAGATTCCATCAGGAGGCAATAAAATGATGGAAATCGTTGTATAAAAATGCAATTTTTAATTTACTGTTCAAATTATTATCCTTAAACAAAGTTTACAATGATACAGAATTTCAGTTTAAAGTGCTTAATGAAAGATGCAAATAAATCATTAAAAAATGAATGTTGTTGACACCACAAAGTACTAGTATGCATAATAATGTTTGTCTGAAAAGCTCCTAAATTTGTGCATGTCATTTAACATTGTGATGATATAGGCCTATATCTCATTACTTTCCATGGTTTTCTAAGTTTTTGAGTGGTCACCCATCCAAGGGTTAAACAGGCTCGCCGTTGCTTAACTTGCCTGAAATAGGGAGAGACTCTGTCGCATCACTAGAAACGCTAGCTCACTAGCGAGGCATTATTAATTCCCTATATACTGTCCGCTACAGATGTCAAACACAAAAGTCGGATATATCTTGTATAAGAAAAGGTTTCTGGATAACTTCGAAATATCTTGTATAAAAAGGTTCTAGATAATTTGTCATCTTTTATCCTTAGCAGTGAAACTTCAGGTGATGACCTTGTCTCAATATCTTAATTTAAATAGACTGTTTTTACGCTGTTAAACGTCCATCTCGAGAATTTTTAACTCACATGTCCTATAACCGGCACTTAGGTCCTTTGAGCAGTGAGGGATCTTTTTCATGCCAGCACTTACTGCGACACGGGACCGCAGTTTATACAGACTCATCCGAAGGACCGGTCTCTATGTAAATTTAACTAGAAGACAAACACAAAAGTAACCTATTCAACTCCTCCCCCCACTTTCAGAACACACGGACTCCTTGTAAGTTGGTAAGGATGGTCAGATGTTTGAATATTTGATGTTTATGAAGTGACAGAGATTGGCCAGCATTCCTCCCCCTTCTGCACACAATAGAACTAATCTTTGTATGTGTGTAAAATGTTGGGTAGACTGGGATAGAATATATTTAACTAATATATGAGAAGCATTTTATTCGAAAGACAGTCCAATGTGCAGATTTCGCACGTAAAACATGATCTCTTTTCTATAAAATTTCTTTTATGTTTTTTTTCTATGAAGACGGTATAAATCAAATGTTGTACATGTACGTTTTTTGTCTATATGGTTCAAGGATTTTAAAAATTGCTCTGAATATGCCCCTGACTTTAACGTTTTTCTTTGGTTTTTTTTGTTCTTGTTTTTTTTTTTTTTTGCTTTTGACTAACTGGTACATTTTCGGAGGACCTTTATGATATAACTGTGACATGTATGTTTTTTCAAACTTCAGATCGGATCGCATAACTGAATTAAATATTGAGAAAGTATAAGTCTGACTTTCACTTTCATAGGATTGACTCTCATAATTTTATTGTTCGATATAGATGGGGCTGTATGTTTGGCAAAATTCTATATATTAATTACATGTACGTGATTGTACTGTAGAAAATATACAATTTTTAAAAAAGTTTTTCAGGTCATGGAAAATGCATATGTATAGTTAAGCATTTAGAAAAAGGGATAAATGGTACTCATCATTTACATTGATATAGCATACTTTACAAAATCCTTTTGTTTCATTAATAAAACCGCAAGCCCCTGCCTCTTAATGCTGTCTCTTGGTCAGTGTTTTGGAGGCAAAGGTTGGACAAGTGAAATCAATTATCAAAAATAAATTAATGGGAACTAAAATATTTTTTTTGTTTTTGCTGGTTTTGAAAGATTTTTACTGAACCTAAACGGTAAAACTGAAAGTGAATTTTACTTTATAAAAGACCTATCAATTATTTTTTATGTTTTCTCTAAGTCGGCGAATCATAGGACTATTTAAACTCCATTGACATATTTTTATATTTCCATATCATTTCATATTTTCATAAAAAAGGAAGCAAAATGTATCCAACAAATAAAGAATATATATATATTAGTCAGAACGGCAGCACAATACCAAGTTATTGCGTATAAGTAATTCATTTATTTATTACGTCGCTATAACGTCGACGTCGCTACAAGAGAACATTTATACGACGTCAGCTGTTTAAATGATGCACACTTTGAGTACCTGTAAATCCGTAATGGAACAAAATACACCTGTAATATTTACAGGTTACAATCACCTGAGGTTCTACATCATTATTCATGAAAAAAGTCATTTTCGAAAATTTTTGACGTAAGGGGGGTTTTTGCTTGGAACGGCTCATCTGATCATTACAGCATTTCTTAACCTGTTTGTTTTATTAAGAAATTCTTCATTTTTAAGATATCATTCCAACAAATTAACTTAGCTAAAATATTTATTTTATTAAAAAACAAAAAAACTCATGTACCATTAGTTACACCCTCTTTTTACTCAGCAGAGTTCATAAACACAGATCTGTGCATATTCAAATCCTATTCCTAAAACACCGACGAGGAAACGTTTGATCTATGTACTTTATTTATATGTCGCAGTTGTTTTGATCTCTCTATATATACATGACCTAAAAATTGTGTACGATTCTAAAGGAAAATGTGAACGAAATTATAAATTGTACCTGGGTCAAAATGAAAATTTTCCGCCATCATGAAAAGTTCCGAATGCTCAAGAAAGTGAAAATAGATGAAATGCGAGTATATCCGAATGAATAGCCTCTGTGACGTCACAATCGCAATGTAGTGACAAAAGGCGGCACATTTCAAGAGATGGCAAAAGGTAAACTTTTATTTTTTACACTTAAAATTCACTGATTTAATGAGTTTTACGCATGCAATTAAAATGAATAACATTGTACTAATAACAATGCGTGTATTTGTTAATCTGGAATTTAGACAAAGTTAGTGTAGCGTAAGGAAATCGATGACGTAAGTTATACATGAAATTTCAATGAAATCCAAACATGACTGCAATTTCTAAGTTTATTGACACTTGACCATTTTAAAAAGCTGATTAAAGAATAAATTATTTTAAAAAAATGAATGAAAAGGAGTATAAATCAGAGACAAAAATTTCATTAATATTTCTGGAATTCCTCAATTTTCTATACACTTTATATTTTCAAATATCCAATCGTTGCTAAGGCGAATGTTGTTCAAAAATATGTCAAATGGATTCACTCCTGGCTTTGAATATAGCATTTACCAGTATGCAATGTAAATGTAATTTCTTAGTACTTTGCAAATAGCAAAGTGCTTGACTCTTTTAAAATTAAAATTACATACGTAAATTTCTGTATACCAGGAAAAGCAATCTGTTATGATATAATATATCAACAATACTAAGTCCTGAACGTTTCTATTGTTTCCCCTTAATTTGAACCCGTCCCTCTTAAATTACTTCGTGAACCATCTTCATTTTGTCTTCTTCCATGATAGATTTTTAAAACAAAAGCTGTACTAACGAGTATTCAAGAACCTTCTTTGACTTCTAAATGTAAATTGTAGACCCGTTTTCCTCTGTCTATACTGTATGCAATGCATATGTACGTTCTCTATATTTATCTTGCCGGTAAAAAGGCGACTGGGGTTGTTACAAAAAGTTATAACCTTGTCTTGAATTGTTGATTAGATCTAAATTTAAATAAATTTTCTTTTGCCGTCTCAGTAAATTTTATTGATGGTAAAATCTTACATCACATCTGTTGGACATACACTTTAAGCACCTCTGTGGTAATAAGGGAATTTAACTGTTACACTGGTGAAGAATTTTACCTGAAAATTTTATTATCGATGTATTTCAGGACTTTACTCTATTTTATGAAGTATGGAGGTATTTCTTCTGTTTGCCAGACATTGAAATAAATATTTTTATTTGTCATGAAAAGGACGATTCTGGCTTAATAATTTCACGGACCATTAAAATAATGATACAGAATAATAATTTGAAGAATTGCATACATGATATATTGTATTTAGTTGACATTTATTCTACTAAAACCACAGTTAAATCACGCAGACATTCACTCGTGACTTGTTTGGGGGAAAAATGCAAGAAATGTTAGAAAATCCAACAATGTACTTGGTGTTTACAATAAATAAGCGAGTCTGGTTATAATTTGAAGTGCCCGGGGACATGAAATGGGTGGTGAGACCCCTGTGGTCACAGAGAGAACCTTACTAATTAAAACACAAGTCCGACATAAAATAAATGACGTTCCGCTTTTCCTTGAGGGGTTTCTACTAATATCTGCATGATGCAGAACCTGTATACACATGTCATTCTAAGCCTTTAATTAAAATTTTCTTTGAGTTTCCATAACAGTAGAGAAATTCACCCGTGCGATTTTTACCTAGCTTAAAATAGGAAAAAGGTGATAAAACTCGACAGGATTTAACGACTACAAGTTTAACACTTATAAAATCGATTGTACAAAGGAGACTTACATAAGAAGAAATAACACTTATGTAGATACCCGGAATAATTTGAGAAAAAATCAGATGACAGCATTTTAATCGATCCGTTTAAAAATATTGACTATACGCCGCCTTCGGATGACCGGATTAAACGATTTGGAGTTGTCTGTACATAAAACCTTAATGTTTCCATAGTTAATTAAACACCCCATCAGGAATTCAGTTTAACTTTCTGTGAGCCAGATTCGCCGACCCGTGTTTGACCTTCTTCAAGATGATGTTTTATTGTCTTTGTTGACAGTCGAGGATAAAGGTTCTTATATATGTGTATATTATACTTTCAAATATTCCCATCTGTTTATGTATGGAAGACTCGCAAAATATTTCAGGTAATTTTTTCAGTACTATATTTTGTAATTTTATTTTTATTTATTTTTATATTTACAGACGAATAAGTTCTTTTGAAATCCTATTTGTCAAAAGACTTGCATTCTTCTTTTTACCGTCTCATGCATGCATTTCTAAATCACGGTGAAACTTTTTTAAAAACATATTTGATAAACTAATGCTGCTGAAATAGAAGTCATGTAGAAGCACCAATAAGCTGTTAATTCGTATGTGCACGATACAACTGACCACTCTTCATGTCCAGTAAACAGATACATGTATATCACATATACAAATGATTTCTTGTCTTTGCACAGACCGTTTTATTTTCAAATACTTTTGAAATGATGGGATAGTTTTGTAATAAAATGTGGTATGGTGGCTTAAATTCTTGAATTAAAAAATATTAAACTCCAAAATGGTTTGTTTATCATCAAGTCAACAAATTAAAGGATTGTGAATTTTTTAACACCTTTTAGACATTTTCTTAACTTCTTATTAGAATTATCAATTAAACCAACAGTGTAAATTAATGAATCATAAGAGGATTATCTTTCAGAAGATTTAAACAATTAAATCCAGAACATTATTTTCAGCTCTGTTTGTCAAATCTAAGACCAGAAGCGATTATGAGACGTGCCCGTGGTCAGTCTATCTGAATGTTTGTCTGAGTGTAAATAAAACAATAGGCACATTAGAAGACTAACTTTGTCAAGTTTATTCAAAATAAAACTGGGCAATACAGCCCCTAAAATAGCCCCTTTATCTTTATTTGGCCCGTTTTCAAACGGACTTGAAATTAATTAAAACTAAAAAAACAAAAACAAAACCGTAGAACATTCGCAGAGACTTTTGACGTGATATATTGACTCACATAACCATAGATAAAGCCTCTGACATATGTATATGTATGTTGATGCTAAGGCATAATATGCTGGTATGAATTATATATTTTTAAAAAGTGAATTATCATAACTTCTCAAAAGATCAGAAAAGAGGCAATAGCTTGTCTGTCCGTAGCTACCGTGTGAAGCTTACCCGAATTTCGCCTTGTTGGATTTACACGATAAAATAATTTTATGGAAGATCTTTATTGTATATTGCAAATATTTAAAGGTTCAATATATTGACAGATTGTAACCAAAAAATTGATTGAAATTGTCAAGTTAATTCGCAGTAGCCCATATCAGATTTAACTAGACCAATGCAACGCACAAACGACCTAGCTAGGGTAAAGGTTTGGAGGGTCGTTCAATTTTTTAACAAATACGGGGACATAAAAACTATCTTTAGAATATTTATTATCAGAATTTAAAGGATTTACTAAATCTCTGAAGCTTCTCAAACTCCCAATGTTTCCAGCTGACTAACTTGTATCGTCCACAAAATCCTTGATTCAAAAAGTATACATAGTGGGAGGAATAAGAGATTCTGATGGTTTGTTATGGGAATTTTTTGCATCTCCTACTACTACTAGGGTTCTTTAGTATTTCCTGGTTGAGAAGGATCTAAAAAACATCCAGTTTTTTTTGTTAGTACTTGTAAAATACCGAATACATCTTCCTCGTATGACGGAAAACTGGGATTTAAATATTACATCACTGCCAGAAATGTCTGCTAAACCTTATGTAAAATCAGATGAAGGTAAATATATATTTTACTTAAAATAATTCTTCCTCTCTGATTCTCATTTAAACACGGCCTAGTTAAAATTTATCTTAAATAAATACTTATAAAGAACAAAGTTTGATAATAAAATGAAAGAAAAATATGGTAATAGATTGCCATGGTAATTATTCCTTAACTTGTCAAAACAATAGTACAGTACACCGAACATTCATCATAGTATTGTAGACTTTAAACGTTCATTTTTTATTCTGCATTATATAATGTGCAGGGTGCGCTCTATTTGTATAAATAATATTAAATAGACATGACATGTATTTACATATTTTCATTGTGTGACTGTTGATCGAATATTTTTTAAATTTCAATTTAGTTGCAATGGCAATTTTTTTTTTTTTTTTTTTTTAAATCTGTTTAGACTGTTGCTGACAATCTTTGTTTTCACAAAAAAACGAGGAAAAGTTTATTTAAGGAATCGAAGGAGGAAATAGAGATTATGTAACACAATACCGGTAGTTCATATAAAAGGTATAAGGCAACCGTATTTCCACAACCTCTTAAGATATGATTACATTGATTGTAGTTGTTGCAGTTCTAAATTACTAGTCAGTTTAAGAATTATTTCAAAGTGGGAAAAAACTAAAATACATCGAAAGTCATCATAAAAATACGTTTAACAAAAAAAAAAGAGATGTGTTTGTGAAACACTGATGCCCCTGTATGGCAACATAGCGAAGATGAAACTTTTCTTAAATGCTTTAATATAATGGTACCAAAAGCATGATAATCTCACTGGAAATACAATTGTGAAATATGAACGTAGGCTAAGAATAAGGTTTTTTCATTAGTACAAAAATCTCCACGATCAAAAGTTCAAAAGGTCAAGGTACCCCTGGTAATTGGTATGCAATGAAAGGTCTTGCCACAAAGAATGCATATGTGAAGTATGGAAGCCCTAGCCCTAACCCTTCAAAAGGGTTGAAATTTTAAAAAGAAGGTCAAACTCCAAGCAAAATTCTTTATATCAAATGAAAGGTCTTGTCACACGGAATAAATATGAAAAGTATGAAAGCACTCGTCCTTACCCTTCAAAAGTTATGGTCAAGGTCTGTTTTTTAAAAGTAAGTTAAACTCTAAGGTCAAGGTCAAAGGGTCAAAGTTCTTCGTATCCAATGAAGGGTCTTTTCACAAGGATTACATATGTGAAGTATGAAAGCCCTAGCTCTCTCCGTTCAAAAGTTATCGCCAAGGTTAAAGTTTTTTATAAGTACGGATATCTCAAAGGTCAAAGTCAAAAGGTCAAGGTAAATGGTATCCAATGAAAGGTCTTTCCACAAAGAATACATATATGAATTATTCAAGTTCTGGTATCTACTGTTCAAAAGATATGACCAAAGTAAAACTTTGGAATTTTAATGTAAAAGTGGGTCAGACTCCAAGCCAAAGGTCAAATTTGATGGTATCCAAAGAAAGGTCTTGTCACAAGGAAAACACGTGTGAAATATGAAAATCGTAGCTCCACTAAATCAAAAGTTATGGGAAAGGTTAAAGTTTTTGCGGACAAACAGACAAACAGACAGCTAGATAGACGGACGGACACGACAAACACTATATACCCCCAAAAATTCGTGTACGGGGGCATAAAAAAATTCTAAAAGGTTGTGTTAAAAGTGTGTGTGAGAGAGAGGGTGTGTGTGTGTGTGTCAAATTAATAGTGACTACACTGAGTATAAAATGTACACAGTCAGCGCTCCCAGAGTTTCTGATTTCTAAAAGAAACATGCATTTTATTCTTGAAACGCCGAGTATGATACATGTATCCTTTATGTTTAGATCGGAAGGGCACACCCAAGATACTACAGCTGATACGCCAGGCCCAGGGACTAGCCCCCAACCCCGAGGAGGAGTCTGCCCTCAAGAAACTCACACCTCACGTGCCGGGAATAGTCACGTTTGCCAATCACTCACGTGCACTGCCATGGACAACTTCCTATACCACAGTTCTCATGTTTGCCGATATATCAGGTTACTAAATATAATTATTTAAGACTAAAAAAATATCAAATAAATAAATATATATCCCTTTATGAGATCCCTAGGTATATCGACTTCACAGAAAACATTCCGGCATTGCAGTGACAGTACATCTCATGCTCGCACGATAAGCTTTTCTATGAAGTCTATTTATCAATGAATTGATTCAATAAAAGGCATTTATTTGTTACGTAGATTTTTTTTGGAGAGGACATCGACAGATAAGAGACAATTCAATTCAATTTCTTATTTGCAAAAGACATAGGTCTTATAGCATTAATACAATATATGAAAAGAAAAATCAAAAATGAACGGTCATTCCTCATAAATCAATACCAAACACATGTATACATACGAACTTATGTTAATAGTCTTTACAGTTCATATGGAGAATGACATGAGATTAATGAAAAGTACATGTAGTATAGCAATAATCATATCAAACAATATGATAATAACAAAAAGTTATTATAATAGAATTTGTATGTTTTTATTCCATGGCATATTCACTGGCAGCACATTTGGACTCTCCATTCCAACAGTTTTTTTAATTCAAATTAATACTAGTAAGAAAAATTGAAAAGAAACTAAATGTAATCAAATTTGTTTTTTTAACATATTTTATTGAAAAAAATCAAAAGGATTGGAAACAAGTTCTTTCAACTTACGAGTTCCTCTCCTTAAATATAACTATATGTCATGCATTTAAAATACATGTAGTATACATAGGAATGTAAATTCAAAAAGTGATACAAGTGGAATATTTTTTAAGTAACATAACAATTTAAAATCTACAGGATTCATCAATAAATTTATGCACAGCTGCAAAAATATATGTATTAAATTGTACAGGCAAATTTACATCACCACATTATAACAAAGTGTCAATATTGACCAATTCGTCAAGAAAAGATAGGCGATTAAAATGATTACCTGCAGTATTCCTAGCGTTTGGATAATTCCTACAGGCAAAAAAAGAAATGATAAACATCTTCATACTTTCAACATGAACATAAAGGGCTATTAATAATGTTTCTTTTATGTAGATCATAGTTAAGTATACATTTGTGTCTAAGTTAAGGTAGGATTCTTCTCTAGTTTCTGACTAGATGAAATATTCAAAGCATATTTGCGTATATGTCTTATATATTTAGGTGTAAGAGATTTAAAAGACCATATTTTTCTTTCCTCGTCACAACTGTACAACTTTAAATAAAAATGGTACACTGCGTTTGAAAACTAAGAGGGACTATATTTTTGGCAGAATGGTGGCGTATGAAAATATCTTCTTTTCTGCCTCTCAAAATTATTAGATAACATTGAATTTAGTTATAATTTTTACGCAATCAAAGATAAGACAAAATTTTCAAATGTAAGTTATGTTAATAATAAGAGACTAAAGTTTCAAATTATATCGAATAAATAAGATTTTGCACACATACTAGAACTATGTTGGCTTTTAAATGCTTCAAATCTAAGTACAGATTTGAGCCAAAAATCCATAAAAGTGTTATTTCTCTCTTAGTAAACTATCAAAACTTTTAGCTTTTGTATCATTTTGTACCTTTATGTGACATCTTTACTATATGTGAAAAGGAGAAAAAGTTAAATATAGGAAGCATATAAAAATAACTAATATATCCTAAAAATTTAAGAAAAGTAGAGGAAATGCGGATTAACAAATATCCATTTTATTTGAATTATCCATGTCAATTTGGTAATATCATCTTATAGGCCCTATATGGTTGTATCTTTTTATGCATTAAGAAAAACATTCAATCTTTTGAATTTCAAGTAGGGATCGCATGATTGGAAACAGTAATTTTTTATTCTTAATGTCCACGAAAAAGGTAATGACCTTGACCTGACCTTGCCTCTAATATTAAACGGTCAAATTTAATCTCACTTATACCAACACTTAGTGATATTGTCCTCTTGATTCTGTGAAAATTTCTTCAATTTCTAAATACAAAAAATGTGAGAAGAATCCTACCTTAAGTGTGGGTTATATTTGTATAACGTTTACCAATCGAAAAATAGATTGGGGATTTTTTACTTCTGTAGTTAAGTTTTAGAGAAATGCATTGAGCGAGATGGCTTCTCGCGTTTCTGTCTTTAATGAATTCCACTATTTCACAGCGTCGGGAATAAAAGATCTTTTATATAATTCTAATCTGCATCTTGGAGCAAGAAATTGTTCTTTAATAGGGGTATTATATTTGAAATGTTTTCGTGCTTGTGTGGAACAATATCATTCAAATATTCAGGTACGCTATCATTATGAATTTTGTACATAGGAGTCATTTTTGCAATATAGCGCCTAACTTTCAATGTTTCCCTGCCAGTTTCAGAATATTTAGTATTTCTCTTGACACAAAAATTAAAAGTCAAGTAACAATTCTAGCTGCAGATAATTGCACTCTCTCAAGCTTATCGGCTTCATGGTTAGAGCAGCCATCCCAAACAATCAAAGCGTATTCGAGCGAGGGTCTGATAAATGTGACATACAATTTTGAATTTGAAAGGTGTGTCCTACCGATTTTAAATTTAAGTTATTTCAAAAGCGCAAGTTTCTTATAAGCATTGTTTACAATGCTGTCAATGTAATCTGGCCAGCTAAGGTTTTGTGACAACAATAGACCTAAGTGAACTGGCATGAACAGGGACACACTCCAGTTTGTTACCTGAAAAAATAATTTTGCCATAACAGAAATATTTTTCTTGTTGAAAAAATAACTTTTGTTTTGGAAGGGTCAAATTTTAGACGCCATTGATTTGACCAAAGTTCCAGAGTATGTAAATCATGATTTAAACTATATTCAATATCAAGTATATTGTATGAAGATTGTTAAATCGAATTATCATCAGCAAAAAGTCTACACAATGATAACATATTTACAGAAACATCATTTACATATATCAGAAATAAAAGTGGCCCTAAAACGGAACCGTGGGGTACACCTGCAAAAATATCTAGTTTTGATGATAACAGATCTTTATACATTACTTATTGTGACCTTTTACACAAATAACTAGAAAACCAATGGAGAAGACCACATGATATGCCATAAGTTTGTAATTTAAAAAGAAGCCCGTCATGCAAAACTCTGTAAAAGGTTTTGAATGATTGCAAAAAAACCCATACATGATTTGCCCTCATCAATATTTTGAACAATACTATGATATGTTTCTAGTAATTGATACACAGTTATATGACCTGGTAAAAATCCATCCTGATATCGATAAAACAAATTATTACAATGAAAATAATTGTACATATGTTTAAAAATAATTCTCCCCATAATTTTACTAACACAAGATATGTAGTTACGACACAGGTCTATAATTAGAAACTAAGGAGGGATCACCTTTTTTAATCAAAGGAATAACGTGCAATTTTCCATAAAAAAGGAAATGGTTTTTTATAAAGACCTATTAAAAAAACAATGTAAGTGGTTTAGCAACTGTATAAAGCGTTTATAAAGATTTTAACATTTTGTGTAACACAGTCAGGACCTATGGATTTCTTCATGGGAAGAATTGATATAATATCGATTACTTCTTTTTTCCTCAATGACAATATTACTGAGTGTGTCACTACACAAATTGTACATGTTTGGCAATATTTCATTTGAATCTTCATTTGTCGAAATGGAAGAAAAATATGAATTCATTGCTTCAGTCTTATCAAAATGTTTTTCACCGTTAATCATTATGTCTTTGGGCTGGTGGAATTTCGTTGGACATTTTCATGTTGAATGTGTCTTTCATCAACTTCCAATAAAGTTTGTTAAAAGCATTCTTGTCTGAGGGATTCTTGTCTTGGTCTCTTCTTGTTTGGTTTTCTGACTAAAGAAAAAAATTCAAAGTACACTTGCTATATATCTGATATATTTAGAAAGGGAATAAAAATATATAATTTTTCTGTCCTCTTATTTTCCTTTCTTCTTTCCTTAGGCTTTTCCTTTCCTTCTTTTCATAAATCTTCAAATGAAAACCCGGTTTTGAGATGGCAGAAACTAAATTTTCTAATGACGGAATGGTGGCGTATAAAAATAAAGTTTCAAAATGTACCAAAAACATCTAATAGCCATTGAAAGACTCGAATCCAATATTATATTTTGGCAAAAAATCAACTAAGATTTTTTTTTCGCGCAATAAAACGATCAAATTTTTTGTTTTGGCATTATTTTGTATTTTTATATGAACAATTTATCATATTTGAAAATAAGAAAAATTTAAAAATACGAACCATATAAAAACAACTAATATTCCTAAAAAAATATTTGTAATGGAAGAAAATCATATTAACCAGTACCTATATTGTAGTCAAATTGTCAGTTTGGTAGTATCACCTGGTAGATACTATAAAGGATAACATCTTTTTATTGCCTAAAGACAGAAATACAGTAGACATATGATTTTAATTCTTTATTTCAAAGAAAAAGTTAATGACATAGATACTGATTTGACTTTGCTTCTAAAATAAAACGGTCAAAAAATTTAATTCATACCATAACTTTATGATATTCTGTTCTTGAATTTTTGAAAAATTCATTATTTTTCAAGTACAAAGAAATATGACAAAAATACCTTCTTAAACCTCTGACGAGTTCTATTTGGCTTTGTCATTCTTTAAGAATAAACAAGGCAATCAGCGTCCTAAAGCTGATGCAATATAATGTTTCTTGAGTGGAAGGATATAAGTATTGTTTCTTGAGTAGTGGAGTACATTTTATTTATATATCTAAATACAGCGTGAAACTAGCTACTTATCATTAAATTAATGTTTCACCCTTGGAATAATCTTATCAAAACACACGACTAATCGGCTTAGTCAAAGACTATTCAAGTAAAACTGAAGAGTCTTGTTTTTTTTTTTTAGCCCCCATACATATTCATTATTTCTACATTACAAATCTTTTATGATAACAAACAAATTACACAAAATGATAGCATGTAAGTTGAAATGTCATGTCGGGTATAGGAAAAAAAAAACTTTTGCAGGAATAGAGCCGAAATATTGTCAAAGATGAGGACTATTGCTTACAATTTTTGCAGGTTTTACTGCTCTGTGTGAAAAGTATGGCGCTAAACAGAATGCGGGAATTGATCAACTCACCAAAACTCTCAATGCCTACCTAGGAGAAATAGTAGAAAACATCATTTCTTCAGAAGGCGATGTTTTAAAATTTGCAGGTAAGATCCGATATCGTTTAACTGTAAGTGTAATGTTTGATAAAAAGATTTTTATACTTGAATTCTCCGAAGAAAGTTTGGCTATGTTGTTATCCTGAATGATCCGTCTCTCCGTCTGCCACTCTCCTCATCTTCTGATTTATTTTTTTAAAATGACTATGCTGGCAAATACTTTGAAATTCAAAAGATACTCTAGTTTTTGATAAACAGTATCTAGTATGTAGTTTTTGGAGACCAAGTCTTCCAACAATCTGTCGGACTTTCCATTGGTTCCAATTGCACCCAGGTATCACATGTATAGCAGACGTATTTTTGTATTCAAATAAAACAGAAAAGCCTCTTGCTGTGGTGTTCAATTCAACATTGAAGATACAAGTATATCGGAGACATTTTATGAATTTACAATATTCATTTTCATTCCTATGTTTCCATTCGATATATCCCTCTAAATTCGAAATAAAAAATACCACGAATCAGTTTCACATTTGGATTTTTTACTAGATATTTCCATTTCTAATTTTTTCCTCTGTGATAACTCTTTGAAAGTTAGGGGTAGTTTATTTCTTGATAATTCTGCCGGAATGTAAATTAGGCAGGTCGATAGGTCGGGAGCTAAGGAGGCCTAATACGCATGCAATTCTCGTGCACATCGATCTGTCTCTGTGTCTGACGCTAAGGAGGCCAAATATGCATGTAAATCTTGTGCGGCTGCCTTTGTGTTTGACGTCGGTTGGCGAGGACTATTGAAACTGGCATGGAAGTCATCATGTGATTTAAATCTATTTATCTACATTTTTAAAGTCTAAATCTACAATTTTATTTCACAATGATATGGAAATATAAGGAATCACTGTCTAGTTAGGAGGGTATGTCAGGGACATCAACAATAGTGGGAAACATGGGATAATTTAAGCATAACGGGCTTCGCCCGTTATGCAAATTATCCCATGTTTCCCACTATTGTTGATGCCCTGACATACCCTCCTAACTAGACAGTGATTCCTTAAATAAAGACGCTAATGATAACCTAACAACAAAACTTGATAGCTTCAGCTTTTCTATCATCAACTCCCCTTTTTTATGTAGCAATATATCCTTATCACCTGCATGCATATGGAGTTTACGTCTCTAGTTAATTTGTTATGCAAGGGCATGCTTTACCTACGAACAATTTCTGAAACAAAGGTCATAATTAACAAACAGAATTTTACAGGGGGATATTTACACCTCTATGGCACCTGGTCCCACTTCTGGTGTTAGAGGTCCATGTTGGCTTTGTTCCGTATTTTTTTTTTTCTTTCAATGTATTCCATGCTTGAATATTGTTCGTTATCTCCATAATTTATGTGCAGTGAAGTTTTAAAGATTTTATTTTCAAGCCATTTAGGGACCAGGAATGACATTTTCCTCAAACTTTCCCCTCTTCATTTTACGCAGTATCTAGTTCAGTTTTTTGAATGTGTAAGTTTTGTCCTGTATATTTACAATAAGGATTGGGAATTTTTAAAAGAAAACTTAAGAATGAAAAATTTGAAGTTAACGAACAGTATTCGAGCTCAAAAGTTCATTAAACCTTATAAATTAGGAGCAGAGCAAACACGGATCTCTAAATCATCAGAGGTTGAATAGCGTGCCATGGAGAAGTGAACACCCCCTGCCAACTGGTCACACCCGCCGTGTGCTCCTTGACATGATCGGGAAATTATGAGAAAATCCGTCCACAATTCAGTGTGTAATAAATGGTCTAACAGTTCGTAGTAGTCACTAATAGCTTTTGAACCAATGATAGATTGTATTTGCTGACAAGGTCATTGTATCGACCATAGAACTTCCAAACTTTTGACTTTAAACGATTTGATTGTTGTTGCTCCTTCATAAATTTATAAGTTACACAGGTACAAAAGACGATAACGAGAAAAACAATTACAACTGGTATTGATTGCTGTCTTTCACTAGTGTCTAAAAGTATTCGTATTCTAAAAGTATTCGTATTTTAATGGTGAAAAATCATCATTGCATGAAATATATGGAGATAATGAACAGTATTCAAGATCAAAAGTCCATAAAACAATACAAAATAGGATCAGAGCAAACACGGACCTCCGAAACATCAGAGGTGAAACAGGTGCCATGGAGGAGTGAGCATCCCCTGCCGACCGGTCACACCCGCCGTTTGGTCCTTGTCATGATCGGGAAATAACGGAAAAATCCGTCGTCAATTCAGTGTGTAAATAATGAATTTACAATAAGTATGAAAAACGTCAGTCAGTATTTGACTCAATGATAAATTGTTGACTAGTTCATTATATCGACCATAGAACTTACGAAATGATGACTTTAAACGAGACTGCTGAAATTCTTGTTTCATCAACTTGTTTGTTGATAATTTACCTCGTCTCAGAAACTGTATATACGTAGAGCATACCCCCGCGTATCGAATCTACTGAGAGATATAAGTTGTTTGGACAACTTATGCTTCATATGAATACAACTAGGAGACTTATTGTTCACAGAACAATAAGAGGTCTTTCCACCTTTTGAATTTCAGTTTCATTTAATATTTATCTATTTAAAATTAAATTTCATAAAAAAGAAACCAGTAATGGCTTAAAAGAAGAAAAAAATGAAAATGAATTTTTTTTTAGGTGACCTTGACCTTTGACCTTCAAGTCATGTTCAAGGTCAAAGGTCAAGGGTCACATTGTAATTAACCCCATGTCTCTATGACTTATAGTTTTAAAGTTATAAGGTTTAATAGTAAGCACAAAAGCATTTAAGGGCAGTAACTCATTCAAGGAGTCACCATATCCTTTTGCACTTGAACATAAAAATTTTGCCTAAAGTCCCAGAAGACATTAGAGAAGGTTTCCTGTCTTTGCTGTTTACAGTTTTGAAGCAATAGCAATAAAAAAAAAAATTCGCACAAGGGGCAATAACTTTTAATAGGGTCAATCTTAAGGGACAAGAATGAAATCTTTGACACAGTTTTAAGAGTACATATTAAGGATGCATAGACATTAAGCATCTGTTGAAAGACAAAAGATATATAAAAACAGCTAAATTTCTCAGTTTTGGAATGACCTTGAACTTTGACCTTTACATGAATTTTAAGTGCAATGGTCAATGAATCTTATGCAGTTGAGTTCATGTCTCTATACCATCTCGTTTTGAAAATTTTTAATTATTTCTAAAATTCAAAGACTTTTAGGGGCAATAACTCATTGAAGGAGTCACCGAAGACTTTCGCAATCATACATTCCAGAATCCTCTCAATTAGTCAAAGACTTTAGTGAAGGTTTCATATTTGTACAGTTTACGGTTTCGAAGTAGTAGCAATAACAAGGTTTTTCGCACAAAGGGCGATAACTTTTAATAGGGTCAATCTTACGGAATACGAATTGAATCTTTAAAATAGTTTTAAGAGTACATATTAATGATGCTAAGACAATTTGTATAAGTTAAGAGACAAAAAAGATATAAAAAGAGCTTAATTTCTTAATTTTGGAATGACCTTGACCTTGACCTTTCCATGAGTTTTAAGCTCAAAGCTCAATGAATCTTATGCAGTTGGTCTCATGTCTCTACACTTTCTCGTTTTGAAAATTTTTAATTATTTGTAAAATTCAAAGACTTTCAGGGACAATAACTCATTGAAGAAGTCACCGAAGACTTTCGCAATGAATAGATTCCAGAATCCTCTTAACTAGTCAAAGACTTTAGTGAAGGTTTCATATTTGTACGGTTTACGGTTTCGAAGTAGTAGCGATAACAAGGTTTTCCGCACAAAGGGCGATAACTTTTAATAGGGTCAATCTTACGGAATACGAATTGAATCTTTAAAATAGTTTTAAGAATACATATTAATGATGCTAAGACACTTTGTATATGTAAAGAGACAAAAAAGATATAAAAAGAGCTTAATTTCTCAATTTTGGAATGACCTTGACCTTTGACCTTTGCAATAATTTCATGATCAAAGGTCAATGAATCTTATGCAGTTGGTCCTATATCTCTATCACTTCTCGTTTTGAAAATTTTTAATTATTTGTAAAATTCAAAAAGTTTCAGGGGCAATAATTCATTGAAGGGGTCACCGAAGACTTTCGCAATGAATAGATTCCAGAGTGCTCTCAATTAGTCGAAGACTTTAGTGAAGGTTTCATATTTCTACGGTTTACGGTTCTGAAGGAGTAGCGATAACAAGGTTTTACATAAAAGGGGCAAGAACTCCGTAAGGGGTCATAGGTCATATACGTTGGGTTGTTTTTCGAAATAACTTTTAATGTCCAGTATCATGAACTAAAACGTTTTTCGATATGTCTTTCCACCTTCTTTGAATTTTTCAATTTTATTTTATATATTACTCCCTAAAATTAGATTTTATGAATTAGAGACCAAAACTGTCCGAAACGATAGAAAAAATGAAAATAAAAAAAAAATTGAAATGACCTTGACCTTTGACCTTGAGAAAATATTCAAGATCAAAGGTCAAGGGTCACAATGCAATTGACCCCATGCTTCTACGACTTATAGTTTACAAGTTATAAGGTTTTATATTAAGCACAAAGAAGTTAAAGGGCAATAACTCATTAAAGGGTCATCAGATCCTTTCGCATTTATACAGTGAAGTTACGCCTAAAGACCCTTAATACATTAGTGAAGGTTTGGTGTCTCTACGGTCTATAGTTTGGGAGGAGTAGCGATAACAATGTTTTTCGCACAAGGGGCAATAACTTTTAAAAGGGTCAATCTTTGGGGACAAGAATGAAATCTTTGAAATAGTTTTAAGAGTGCATATCAATGATGCATAGACATTGAGTATATCTTGAAAGACAAAAGAGATATAAAAAGAGCTAAATTTCTCATTTCTTGAATGACCTTGACCTTTGACCTTTACATGAATTATAAGCTCAAAGGTCAATGAATCTTATGCAGTTGGTCCCATGTCTCTACGACTTGTCGTTTTGAAAATTTTTAATTATTTGTAAAATTCAAAAAGT